CCAGCAGCCCGTAGCCCTGAGGGAGTCTAACCCCAGGATGCAGGGGTCCTGCACTGCTGATACTCACACTGGGTGATGCACCGTCTTGCCCCTGAGAGCCACAGACAGCATCCCCCTGCCTCTCATGGGGGGGTCACCTCACCGGGCACCATGTGCAGCTGCACAGAGGTCGACTTCAGCTGAGTCCAGGCTGCCCCATGTCAGGCATCACCAGTGTCACGGTGGCCCCCCCATGTCCACTATGACGGAGCAGGGGCCTCCCTTCACTGCGACAGGTACATGGCATAAGTCCCAAGAACAGGTATGACCCACCATTGCCACCGGGGGGCATCATCATAAGCTTTGGGGGGAATGGGGACAGACTCCCCCATCTGTGTTGCTGGGCCCCTCCTGCAGCAGGTGGTGATGGGGTGAGTGTGCTAGGGGTGCATAGAGTCCCCTTTATACGGACCCTGCACTGTTAATAGCAATAACAGCAAGTAAGATGGCGGTGCGTCCAGACACTGCGGCTGTGTGCTCCCCGACTTCCAGAGAACTGACTGGGAGATTTTTGATCACCAGGATCTGGAGTCCCATACCACAGCAGTATGGGCACTCACATCAGGTCATTATGAAGTGCTTTGAGAATCTGGTGCGGAGTCATATCATTGCCTGCCTGCCAGCAGACTTGGACCCATTCCAATTTGCTTATAAGGCAGAGAGATCCACAGAGGATGATGTGGCCACAGCCCTTCATACTGCCCTGACCCATCTGGAACAGCAGGGGAGCTACGCCAGACTGCTTTGCTCAACATCACAAAAACAAAGGAGCTGGTTATTGATTTCAGGAAAAATAAAACGGACATCCAGCCACTCACCATTGCTGAGGCAGTCTGGGGGCAGCGTGTGGCTCAATGGGCTAAGCCTGTGTACCTGTAATCACAAGGTCACCGGTTCAGCCTCAGCACGTCTGTGGGTCCTTGAGCAAGACCCTTAACCGCCAACTCACTGGGCACCCCAACAGGTGGCTGCCCTTCGTGGACAACTTACTCTGCAAAGAGCAAGTTGAGGGAGGCGTAAAAACAATTTCCCCACGGGGATCAATAAAGTATCTATTATTATTAGTGTTCAGGTTCCTGGGTATTGAGTTGAAGGATGACCTGACCTGGAGTGCGAACACCAAGGAGCTGCTGAAGAAGGCACAGCAGAGACTGTATTTTCTGAGAATCTTCAGAAAGAACCATCTCCCCAAAAATCTGCTCTTTGCCTTTTACCACTGTTCCATGGAGAGCGTACTTACATACGGACTCTGCGTGCGGTACTGCAGCTGCACCTCCTCAGACATGAAAGCTCTCCACAAGGTCATCAGGGCAGTGGAGAAAACGATTGGCTGCCCATCTCCCCACCCTGGAACAAATCTACACCTCCCGATGCCAGAAAAAAGCTATGGACATTTACCATGATTCATCACATCCCGGTCACTGTCTCTTTCAGCTTTTGCCATCAGGCAAGAGATACAGAACAATGAAAATCAGGACAAACCGCCTAAAAGCAGTTTTTATCCCAAAGCAATCATGGCTTTAAATGCAAAACATAATGGTTAATTTCTTATTCTTCAGTGCAGTCTGTGTATTTAGTGCAATCTGTATAGACAATGCAGTATTCAGTGCAATTTGTATCTTTAATATTTATTACTCTTTTTATGCCACACATTGAGTCGAGTTGCTTTTTCAATTTCGTTGCCCACGTGACAATGACAATAAAGATTATCTTTATCTTTATCCTGCACTTGGCCCTTCATGGGTCATTCCCTGAGGAGGTGGTCAGGCTGGCCACACCCCCAGCAGACTCTGGGGCCCCAATATGGGGGCGTCTCGCCTGCAGCCACGTGGCCCGTAACAGCTCAGCCGCTTTGGTGGCCCACGCGGGCCTCCCCAGCTCTGAGCTGTCACCGCACACGGCTCGTGCAGCAGGTGCATACTCTCTGGGGGGGGCAGGCCACACAATCCCCACACAATCTATCTCTCCAATGCCTGCCCCAGGGCTGCCTGCAGGGGGCGCATTTGTTCCGGATGAACATGGACTAGATATGCAGAACAACATCGTCCTGGCACATGGCCAACTGCAGGGCCTTTTCTGCCAGCGACGCCCCCCACCCCCCAGTGAGCCGCACTGTCAGCTCAAACTGAGTGTGGGACGCTTCCCAGCCTGACCTTCCTAAGCACTTAGGGGTTTTCAGCGGCGCTGAGGGGGGTGAACCAGGGTGGGGGGCAGTAGGCAGAGATAAACTGGTTTCCTCAGGCATCCTGACCATGTCCTCCCCAGGCACAGCAGGGTTCGATGCCCTGTGTGTCGTGACACGTTACTCCGGTGACCATCCTTGAAATTATCTGCCATTTGTGCCACAGTCACCTTCTGTTGGTTTGACCCAGAC